CTATATCTAGTTGTTGAATTTTATTTAAAACATCTTCTGAAGCGTGTCACAATCTCTATGCCAAGTGTCTTGCTTACTCAAAACCGCCATTGCCACTTTACTCTTTTTGAACGGCTCCAAGTAATACAAACCATCACGTTCCTTACACGTCCTAATCAAGTTCTTCAAATGCAAGTCCAATATAAAACATTTGTCTAGACGGAAAGTCAGTGGACATTGTAAATCATGTGTGAATCGACTAACTGACATTAAATTGCAATTGAAGATGGGAACATTAAGGACACATTTTAATTTGAAACCATGTAAAAGTTGAAAACTCCAATTCCTTTTAAATGAACATTTTCACTATTTAAAATGGTTATATTAGTGCCATTTTTATTGTTTTTAATTTATTTCAACCAATTTTTATGAGCAATTATATGCTCATTATCCCCTTACAACCCATGAATTTTTACGAGTTTCTATACCTTTCATATTTGACTTTGGAGAATTAGATGCCTTGGGTCAGTGAGCCTTAGCTTTTATAGTATGAATAATTAGGTCATTTGTACTCCTCCTTGGTGATGTTAAGTGTGTTTTGATCCTCAACAACAATAGCGTTGGTTGCTCGCGGTTGAGTTTTTGTTTTTTCGGACTGACTTTTGGTGTTTGTCGACTTAACATTCCAGCAATTCGGGTATCATTTTAATTCAAAACAACCTTCGATAATATAAACAACCTTTTGATAGTTGTTGATATTTGCATATTTATTCATATATTTTGTGCATTATCTTAATATTTTTAGCTATAATTGTGCTTATTTTAGGACAAAATGTACTTACTATGTTTAAAATTTGTTTTGTAGCAACAAAGACATGCTCGAGATTAAAAGGAAGCAAAATGCAGAGTTGGAAGCAGGAAAAAGTGGGTCAAGTCAACCAAAGTAAAAAACTCCATGAATTCTGAAGCCCACAACGTAGAGATCCTTAGCCACGTCGTGGTGAGGAGAAGATTCGCGATCAGATCAATGCCTTGGAGAATACACGTTTTTCATGGGTGCCATGCCGTTGAGCCTAATCCCCACGTCGTGGCGACTAGAATTTGGAAAGTATAAATAATCGGTATTAGGTCGAATGGAGAAGCTTCTGAACAACTTTATGGAGAAAAGCTGCGACAAATAACCTCTGGAAAACCCCTTAGAGGACCAGAATTCGTTTGAAGCTTAATTGTAGAAGAGATCTAGAAGAAAACAGCATTAAATCTTTCGGTTTGCTAGCTTTAATCATGTTTAGTCTTATTTTCTTTGATTTTATGTGTTTTTCTGCTATGATTATGGGCTAAAACCCTTCTACTTTCGTTGGTGATGACGAACCATTTGAACTATGTGTTGATTTCAATCTTATGACTAATTATTGTTGGTTTTTATAGTGTTGATAAATCAAATCCTTACATGTTTAAGTTCCAGTTTTTAATTGCCTTGATACAAGTTTTGTGTAGTAGATGATCATTTTATTTGCATGAATTTGTTTACCTAGTAGTTTATGATCATTAAATTGCTAGAGCTAGGATTGGCCAAATCTTAGATTAGGTAATTAAAGTTAGTAACTTTAACTATGTTGAAGAGTATAATTGATCCATAGTTTGTGCTTGGTTGCTTGACTTGATCATAGAAAAGTAACTTTTAGATTTATTGTGCATAGCCAAATTTATCTTTATATCGATTTCGTGTCTACTTATGTTTGATCATTACATAGTATGTCATAAATTGGTAACAACTAGGAATTTGATCATAATAACTAGTTACATCATAATTTGGTAACCAACATCAGTAATATAAAAGAACTCAAACCATAGGGAAAAGGGGGAATTTGGATATAGTGAAAGTACTCTTTAATATTGAATTCAAATCGCTTTCTTTGCTTACTTAAGTTTAATTGGTAGTTGTTTGAATTAAGTTACTGAACTTGCAAAATCAGTAAAACCCCCATTTAAAGTTTGTTTCTTAGTTTAATTATTAGTAATTATTTTATAAATTAAAATTCCGTTCCTTGTGTTCGACACTCGACTTACCTAAACTATTCTATAATTTTGACTAGGTACACTATCTAAGTGCAATTAGTTAGTTAAGTAGGTTAGGTTTATAAATTTAAAACTAGGTAGTATATAAATTACACATCAAAATTTTTGGCTCCGTTGGGGACCGCTTTTTAATTAATTTAGTTTATTTGATTATTGGTTATTTGTTTTTGCATTTTTTTAGTTTTATTTTTGTTTTCTTTGATAACAAGTCACTTGTCGGGAAGATTTTTGTTTTTATGTGTATAAATTCGTGATCATACGAATTGCTTGGTTTATCTTTTTTTGCATGAGTTTCGAGATTTCAAGCGATTAGAGAATTATTGATTTGTTTAGTCTATAACTTTGGTGATTTGTCCAACTCAATCCTCGAGGCGTATTATAACAAGACGTATCGTGGTGGTTAAGTGGAAGACCGAACTCTTGCTACTCTTAACTAGTTGGGCTTATTAGTTAATGGTGCAAAGAAAACAAATGAAATAGCCTAACGGGTCCCAAAAGTTTTTGTGTTTACAAACCACTTCTTGCATGCAAGGGATTTAATCAACAATTGTTGCATGATTGCGACGAAGACGAGTGTCGTGTTGATCCGATCAAGCGATGTTGTTCATCATTATCCACGAGATGGAAGGCAAATCCAAGAGTGGGTAGAGGATCAGTGGTCAAGATCTGGTTTTAACGGTGTTATACTCTACACCGAGTCCCATCAAGAAATCATAAAGTCGCTCTTTGTCACATAACTTTGTGATTTCTTTTGAGATTTCACATATGCAACCGTTACACTTGCCCCCATGTAGTTGGCTAATCGCTTGAATTTTGTGTCAAACTCTCCTTAATTTGGTGTAATACGTTGAGATGGTCTTTTCTTCTTGACGTATGGTAGTGACAGTACGTCAGAGGTTCATAAGACATAAGGGCGTTTTCCTTCCCAAACCTTTCTTCAAGGCCGACCCATATGTCACAATTCGTGACTGCATATTTGACGCCACTCTTGATTTCTTTCTCCATCGAATTTACAAGCCATCTACATACCATGGCGTTACGATGTTTCCAATTCATTAGATCGGCTAAATCATCAGCCGACATCGGCATCGAACAATCGAAAAATCAAATCTTGTTCTTGGCGAACAAAGCGCTTGTCATCTTGCTTTTCCGGTCACTATAATTTCCATCACATAACAAGTTTTTGCCAATAAAATTATGCTCAGGATGGTCCGCACAAGTGAGAAATTATGGTGACGAGATATCAATGGTCGTCGTTTCCTTTGTCGATTTTTCTAGAGTGTCTCCAACCATTGTTTAAAGTGAACTAGGGTTTGATTCCCAAGTTTTGCTCTGATACCATAATAAACTTTGATTGCTAAATTGTATTTCAACTTGAAAAGAGCAATTACAATGAAGCTAGGGGTGAGCGCGATGCGGTTCGGTGCGGTTATAGGCCAAAACCTCACCATTAACCGCAAATGTGGTTAATCCATTTTTAAAACCGTTTGATGCGGTTAGACGGTTATTTTTGTGGTGCGTTTTTTTCCCGGTTATTAACCGCATGTATTTGGTGCAATTATTTTATGTGGTTTTTAACCGCATTTTAGAGTTTACAAACGGTTTTAAGAGTTCAAACATATTACTTATAATAATAAAAATAAAATAAAATATAAGACAATTAACTTAAATCACAAACAACTAATATCTTAAAAACGTAAAATCACTAGTAATTAACAGTAAATATCTTAAAATTGTGAAATTTCACCATTTTCCAAAGTTAAACATAACAAAAAAACCAACACTTTTGTCTTCTAGAATTTTATCCTTCTTTCGTCCATGAAACTTGTCTTATTTTTAAATTTAATATATGAATAATTAATAAAAAATTGTATATAATATATGCGGTGCGGTGCGTTTTTTTTTTTTGAAAACTAATAACCATACCGCACCGCAAATTTGCGTTTTTTGAAAAAGCAGAAGACCTCACCATCGCTTTTTATTACGGTTGCGGTTTATGCGGTTAATTTTAGTTGCGGTGCGGTTTTTGCTCACCCCTAAGTGAAGCTATATTTATAGCTAGATAATTGGAGACTAATTTGAATCTAATACGAATAACTAGGGATAAGGATAACATCTAAAGAGGATAAATAGGATAAATACTTACGGATCAAGTAAAGCATCACAAACTTTTCAATAACAACCTTACGCTATCTTCTCACTTTCTTCTCGATCTACCTCTGCTCCCACCCTTGACAATAATCATCTCTACTCTCCTAACAACAATAGTCGGTTGTCTCCTATGAACATGTCCAAACCATCGTAATCTCCATTTGCGACCTCCATCTTCCTTTCATGTTCCTTTTTATCGGCCAACATTTAGATCTATACAACAAAGCTTACCTTATCACTACCTTATAAAATCTCTTTTAGTTTCTGTCGCACCTCTTGTCACACACAACTCCTGTTGCGTTGCATCCCTCCATTTTAACCAACTAGTCTTTGTATAATGTGTAATGTCATACCCCAAATACTTGAAACACTCTGTCGAGCGCAAAATGTGCTCATTGACACATACTTCTATCCCTTTATTGTTTTGCCTCCACTGAAATTGCATCATAAATCCGTCTTAATAGTGTTAATACGTAGCCAATTTTCTTCTAAAACAAATCGTTAGGGGAGAACCTCTTTCCCAAAAAAACGTGGGACATGTTAAGTGTATTTTGGTAGTAACAAAACTACGTCGTTCACAAAAAAGAAAAAATAAAAAGAAGATACAGCCGACGACGTGTCGTGGACACCACCACTTTGGACACAAAATGATATAATACTTGAAATTTATTGATCATATAATAATTGGTTGAAAAAAAAGTCAAACACAAATCAATTAAAAACCCATAAAGTAACGAATAATAATTCTTAATATATGGTTACAATCATTATACATAAGTAAAGACAAATAACTTATGTGTACAGTTCAGTGAAGCAGAGACAAATTTTAGGTTTGAAATGATAGCATTGGATGCCAGACAACTTGTTAAATGGAGCAAATTTTTGTCACAAAATTCAATCATATCCTCAATTTAAAACCTTAATTCTTCCGTTCTCAAAATGAAGAGGATTCAGATTCTATTCCCTTTTCTCCTATGTTGCCTCCTCCTTCTGCCATTTCCATCGAAAGTTCATGCAACTAAACCAGGTATGGATTTTTTCCGAATTCAAGTTTGATGTTTTTATGTTACAACATTTTTTAAAAAAAGTTTTTTTTAATGTTTCCTTTCATTTTTTATGTTGAAATTGGAGTATGACTCGGAAAGTCAAACTCTTATGTAATTATGTTGTTAAAACTTTCTAATGTAACCAACTTTATGAATTACTACATATATAGTTGATTTTAAGGTTCGGTCAGCACACCATAGCTTAAATCCGGGCAGCATATACGGCTCCACTCAGGTCAGTCTTTTGGTTGTGTTTGTTACAAGAGACATAAGTCACATAACTGCACAAGTTTCTATGATTACTTTTGATGATAATGATGAAGAGGGAAATCATATCATTTCCACTATCTGTTCCCACGTTTTTCGATGTGACAAATAAAAATGATAATTTTTGTCTTATTAAACATCTGTCACAGTCCATGCCAAACATAACATAAATTGTTTCGGTTTGATTTATAGTAAAAATTATGTGTGTGTGTGTGTGCATGTATATATATCATCTTGAAGGAAGGGAAGAAGGCATATAAACAACCATCCGGGCCAAACCCAGTGGGGAACCATGGACCACCTTCAAGGAGATGAAACACAAGTATAAATGGAACAATTGAATAACTTTTGAAGTTTCAGAAGGTGAGAAGTCTATGGTAATTTAGAAGAGAATGTATCAAGGGAATTCTGATTATTGTATAAAGATGATAAGTTAGTAATAAGGGAGGCTTTGTATTTCCTCTGAGTCTGTAAAATATGGGTAAATCAACATTGGTTGGGCTGAGTACTTGAGTTATATACCACATTTGGCATGCATTGTACTGGTACTGATACTGATGTAAAAAAAATGATTGTGGTTAGAGGGAGAGAATGTAAATATGAGCCGCAAAAAATGACAGCTATATATCAACTAAAATATGAGATTTTACAAAATATGGGGTTCAAAATTAGAGCTACACACCACATACATGTAACAAATGGTATCATACAGAACGCTTTCGCTTTGATCTCTTACTCCTCCTTGGCCCAGAATAATCCGGAACTGGTTTTGTTGTGCTAGATGCGTACGCCTCTTCCAAAACCTCCTGAAATATTTATTATTATTCTCAATTAGTTTTTTGAATTTTTAATTACATATCATAAATCAATTTTTACACCAAAAAGAAAGTTAAAAAAGTGGGGGGTACCGTGGACTTTGTTGTGTCTTCATCAGTGTCGTCTTCTTCAGAATCAGATGTAGATGATGCCAAAACCTGAACATCTGGTTCAGCCAGTGCCTTATTTGATTTTCTCTTTTCTTCTTCCTTTAGCTGTTTAAACCTATTTTCATATTTCAAACCAAATTAATTCTAACAACATAAAAAAATATAATATTTATAAAAAAAAACAAGACTTTACCTAGCACCAGAGGACTCTGATGGTTGAGAAGATGATCTTTTTGCACGACCCGCACTTATTATTCCACCTGCATTCTCATCCACAACAGGCTTTGCACCTCCCAATTTTCTTAACCATACTTGCTGAGCTGTACTCAGCACATTGTTTGTAAACCTAATAATTAATAACACGTCAACTTAGTTTGATTATAAATTTATAATATAAAAATAATTGACATTTATAAAAACTGACCAGTAAATTGATAATCCTGATGGGACAGATAAAGAAAAATAGCCAATCATGAGAGGAAGGAACTTGAAGATAAGAAGTGTGTTTTTCTGAGTTGGATCATCAGTCTGTCATATCAAAACAAGATATAAGATAAAAATGCATATAAAATATATAAATAATATAAAATATAAAGGTATGTTTAGATTCTCTTACTTGGGGTGGCTTCATGATCTCCATTGATACATATTGAGAAAGAACAAGAAGTACAGGTAATACAAGGTAGGCTGCTGTGTCATGCCAACCCAAAGGTGGATGTCCATCCTGCAAATACAATGTACTTTCATTCATTTGTTTATTATAGCATCCTACTTTCCTATTATACACAGATGAGGGGGGATTTTATTACCACAAATGGAAAGAGCCAAGAAACGCCTGATCCACTTTGGCGAGCAGCAATTGTTGTGGGCCCTCCCAAAGAGGGAATCCAGAAAAAACCTTCCGTGAAAAGTCCCTTGACAGAATAAGCAATTATTTGTAAACTAATGAACCAAAATCAAGTATATGGATATTTTAACATGTTTACAAAAAAGGTTGCAAAATAAGGGACATGTTAAATTGTTGCATTTATATATATTTACCTCATTTGCAACATTTGAAAGAGCTTGATACAAGCCTATCCATACGGGTATTGTGGCCAAAGTAGGTAAACATCCTGCCATTATATAAAAAATTTATAACTGATGAGATCTTTGCAGAAATATAAATTCATGTTGAAATAACAGTTTCTTTTACTCATGTGCAGTGAAAAGTTACCCATGTGCCCATTATAATCATATGGGACCACACGATTCTTTTATTTTACCTTTTTTTGTAAGGTACTAGAGTATTAGCACTTTGGGGTACCAAATCAAATGATGGAATTTACATGGGATTGTGGGGTAATTTTATAAATTTAGAGTATTATATAAGATTATGAAGAGAATAAAGTCATGAAAAAAGGTTTGAATAAAATGGAATTCCTCATTCATGATACGAACCTGCCAAAGGATTGACCCCTGCCTGTTTGTATAAACGTGATGTCTCAAGTTGTATTCTTTCCTGAAATGATATCAATTTTGTCAAAGATAGAGGATTAAAGATAAAATTCACTTATTTTTAAATGCTGACATGGAACCTAAGTTGTTATTGTTTAACCTTAGGTTACTGGTTTATTGAGGCCCCGAAATGTTTGTTTATGAAACTATAGACACTTAAATGTGTGTTTTGAAGTACAATCCCCACAATGAACCCTGGCAATAGAGTACGTTCCATTTTCGTGTCACTTGTCCTATTAAAAAAATGTCATGTCACTAGCACCACAGTAGCATTTATCATGTTACTGGTTTTTAAGACCTAAAGTGTGTTTTTTGAAACCATAGATCTATAAAAGTATGATTTCCAAAATGAACCCTAACATAAATTTATAGTACTACTGTACTAGTGTGCATGATGATTTGGTTCTTATGTTAAAGGTCAAGCTTCATCTGTCTTCCATCAATGTGTTTGCAGGTAACATTATTGCATCTTACTATGAACTGTTTATGTTTGCTTCACTAATCATCCAAGTAGTTTCTTTATATTCAGGTTTGCTCTGAAATCATTAGAATGCTTCTAGGGGTGAAGAATTTGTATGCATGTTTGCCAATTTTAAACCCTTATGCAGAATGTTTGAGTTTGTTACTATTGGTTCAATGGCATATTTCCACCTCTTAGCTGGACAAATTAATTTTAGATGAATCAGGCCCCTATCAAGTCTCTAACTTAAATTCTCCATGAATCCTAATATTTTATAAGGCAATCAAAGCTATGCACACCATTACTAATGAAGTGACGAATGCACATAAGAGTGTTGTTACATGATATGTTTCACATTTGCATACAATAAATGAAATTTCTCATAAGTGTAGCATACAATACTATAATAAATAATGTTGCACCTGATTTCCTGCATATCTTTGTTGAATTGCTTTGAGCTTTGGCTGGAGGTTTTGCATTGCCAGAGTTGACTCGACCTTTTAAAGAAGTGAATTCGTCAAACAATAGTAGTAGAAGACCATTATATCATCATCGTCAATATATGAATGAGAGAGGAGGATCACCTGTTGCTTTGTCAATGGCAAGGTTGCAACCTTGACAAGAACAGTCAGCAATATAATTGCAAATCCATAGGAATATGGCACATGAACGGCAGTCAATCCATCTTTCAGTACCTGGTTAAGATAAGCGCAAGCGAAGATAAAGTACTGGTCAAATCTTGCCACTTTCTAATTAGATAATCAAGTCAAATTAACTGCTAAGCAGATAGATCATCTAGTCAAACTAGATTAAGTTCAGATTTTCACCAAACAAAACAAAATCAATCGCTAATCCTAAAAACTACGAAGTTATCGGAATAAACTACCTTCAAAACAACTTCCATAGCATCGGATATAAAACCGAACCATCCCCCGGACTTCTGCACGGTGGTAGTAGCCGATTCCCCGGAAGCAGAAGCAGCGGGATCAACAGCAACCGCCGCATCAGCCAAAGTATACATAAGACTCTCCGCACGGGTAGCGATTGCTGCGAAATCGATAGAGACGGCATCGAATGAAGAAATTGGAGGAAGTCCGTTAAAACTGAATTTCACTCTGGTAGATATAAGCTTAGTCCTGGGAGAAAGGCGTCCATGGCGATAAAGTGAGGGGAAAGGTGTTCCGACGAAGGATGAAGGAGATGAAATGAGAGATTTCGCCATCGATGGATGGATTGATTGATTGTCGGAAGCTCTCTCTGCAATTCACTCACCTTCTCATTTGTGTGTGCGGATGAGAGGGAGAAGGAGAGAGTGCGTGTGCGTTATCCGTTATTTGTGTGATGAAAAACAATAAAATAAAATAAAATTGGGAGAAATGACGTATGTGAAGTGGGATATTCGACAACAGCCGATAGGTTGCGACCACGTCACTTTGGAGCAAACGAGTAGGGGAATCACCGTTTTACTTCTTTTATGACAGCGATGGATATCAACATGAACATACTATCGTTCTTGTGGTTAAATAGTAGGGTTGGGAAAATGAAGGTAATAAAATTTTTATTCTATTCAAAATACCATCAAATTTTATTTCTTATATAATATATCATTAAAGTTACCAAAAAAACATCATTGTTACCATAAATAAGAAGTTTGATGCTCTCAACATACCTATTTTATGTATGTACCTTCTTGATAGTCTTCTTCAATTTGTTCACTATCAAGATGAATATGGTCATCAATCAAAATATTGAGGCTTTCTATATTTTTTTTGGAGGCAAAAATCCTTTCGGCAAAAGTTACAAAAAGTCAGGATTTCCTGACTTTTCCAAAAAGTCAGTTTTCCTTATATCAAAAATTCAAAAGTTGATTTTAAAATGCTTTTACCAAATATCTTTTGCATTTTATCTTTTCCAAAAAGAACTTTTGGGCTCTCAAAAGATAAGCCAAACACCCCCTTAGTATCTTGAAGGACCGGAAAAACATTTAGATTTTAACACAATATTGCTCACACATACGTGTTATAATTTGTTTTTAGTTGGTGTTATGGGTTGAAAGAATCAGGGCAAAAGTGATAGTAACTACAAATGAGGTTTTGATTAGACTTTCAGACTCGATTTTATGATGCGACGTTTTTTTATGGCCACCCATAAGATGAACGCATGTCGGATGATGTTTTGAGAGAGCCACACAAGGTAACAATCAAACTCAACCTCGGACTTGGGTTGTGGTGACTTGGTAAGACATGTGGAAGATATGATAGATAACCTATTGACCCATGTTCAAATCCTGACACCACTCAACCCTTGTGGCCATGGAGGTTTGCCTGCAGTGACTCCAGGGCATGAGGCAAAGTCTCATGTTTGCAGCGGGGGATTAGCGGTGCGCGAAAACTGACCCGGAAACCCTCGTTAGGGAAGTTCCCTTTCCAAAAAAAAAAAAAAAAACTCAACCTCGGGTTCATTAGGTCGAAGACTATGTCAAACTTCATGAATAGGGAACATAGTAAGACGACCCAATTTATTATGCTAGAAGAATTTACCCGGGATGAAATGATATATAAATGACCATGATTGTTATTAAGGTAACAAGGAGTTACACCAAATGTGAGGAATACCAAGCTATTGAAAAAGACAATGTATTTGACAGTAGCATTAAGGGAGAAGACCGTATAAGACAGTGTTTCAATCACCAATCTGAAGGACAATAAAGTCTATAATCTTTTCATGCATTACAAGGATGTTACGCCATCCCCCACCGATACCACTCTTAGTCGAGACATCCTATAAATTCCGACTGTAGAATCTATAAGAGTAGACCCACTTAACCCAAATGAAGTCCTTATTGTAAGGAGCCTCCATTTCAGGGAGGACATAAGGGTAATGTTTCAAGTGACCATGCTCTTTATGTCAAGGCCACATTAAGTCTTTGGGAGACATACAGTTTTCCAAAAGACTTTGCCTTGCCTCTATTCAAACTCACCATGACACCAACGGAAGCCTATGTTCAATTTTTATATGATTTGGTTCGTTTATAAATAGCAATAGGTTTGGTGTAGTTTTTACATTTAGGCGGTTTTGAAACCACAAAATTAATGGACTATAGTCATATTTCTTTGGGCCTATAATACGTCGAATAAAAATACAAAACGACTTTGTGGCAAGTTAGTGGCTAAAATGTTAGTGAATGTCGAAATGGCCGAAACCATAAATATTAAATAGGTAATATATATTATTTAAATGTTTAGAAGATCATACGGTTCAATTTTTGGTATGCGGCTTTTATGAATGGTGGGTTCGAACCACACCGTAAATACCTAGGTCTTTACAAAATAAACCACACTATCGATTGTTTGTTCAGTTGTGGTTTTACTGATGTTTACGATTTACGGTCGATTTTTGCTCCCCTGAAATCGCCCATTTGATTGAACAACAAAACTCCTGACGAGATTATGGAATCTGGAGTAACCGACTTTACCACTCAATTGTTTTTGTTCATTACTTGGGCCAGCCAAACATTAAGGGTTTACAAAGTTGCAATTTGGGTCCGTCACAATATTAAGTAATCGGCCCACATCTGATTTGGGTTTAGTCTAAAACTTTTTGATACTTCCAGAAAATAACAAAGCATGACATATTCTTTCATTGTTCTAAATTCTAATTCTTCATAAGTTTTTTAATCCCCTTTTATTAATAAGAAAAGAATCGATAACAGATTTAAACTACTCATCTCCATCATCTATTAAACATTTTGTTGTAATTGTTTTATAAAAACTAAAACCCCATAGAAAGATTTGACGAACTTTTAAACCAAAAATTTGAGTTTCAGTTAGACACTATTGCTCGATTGCGGTCATTAGATAAGGTTGTTAAAATTGTGATTTTAGTCGTACGATTCTATGATCCTACGTATATCAATCCCGATAATATATGAATTTTTTTTGGTAGGATCAAATTGTAAGATCATAAGATACTTTTTTATTTTATTTTATTTTTTATTTTAAATTCTAATATGTTGTCTTGAAATAACTAAGTGAATCATATATAAAAACTACAAAAACCTTTTAATTTGTCTATTCTTAAAAGATCTATTGAAGGTGGATTTTTCATGTTTGTGGATATTTATTGTTAATTGAATGATTAACCGATGGATATAATTTTTTTTAATGTTTTAAACTGATTTTGGCAGAATCTTACAACCCCGATTCAATCTAACGACCCGGAAATTGCAAAGTAAACGATCATGTAACGACCCAAATTTCTACAAAGAAATTTTTCATTTTTAATTAGTCAACCATTTTCATAAAACATAAAGATTCCAATAATCGTTTCCAAAACCATCAACATTACAACATTATTATTTTCAAAACATCAGAGTGTCCCCAAACCAGATCAGAAAAGAGAGATAGAGTGCACGCCGCATCATCACATGTCAATTAGCCATGAAGTTATCTCTACCGTTAGCCACAAAGGCTATCTCTACCATCAGCCATAAAGGCTGTCTCTACCATTAGCCATACGGCTATCTCTACCGTTAGCCACAAAGGCTACCTCTACCACATATCATGCACAAATACATATCACACCTCTACATAACAAGTAAACCAACTATCGCAAAATGGGCCGGCCTTGGTGCCTTAGACCCATTGGTATGGTGAGAAGACTCACCTCTCAAAGGCTGAACTGGCAAACTGGATTCAGGTATGCCTGTGCTGCTCTTCCCAAACTGTTTATAATCAATGAGTAAATATCTCAGTATAGTCCCATAAATACCCCCAGGGTCAACCCTGGTCAAAGTCAAAGTCTATAGTCAAGGTAAACAGTCCATATTGACCTTGACTCGTCGAGTACAATCATTCACTCATCGGGTTCCCTGCTTAACTCGTCGACTCGCCGAGTCACCCGAGGGACTTGTCGAGTTCCTTGGTGTTTACGGCCGTAAACCACCAACCGTACACCTTTGACCGTAAACCCTTGGCCGAACACCCTTGGCCGTACACCCTTGGCCGTACACCCTTGGCCGAACACCCTTGGTCGTACACCCTTGGCCGTAAAGGAGAAAATCCTCTCGACTCGCCGAGTCACTTGCACGACTCGTCGAGTCCCCCAAAGTTCATCATGATTACGGTCCTTTCCAGTGGGACTTAAGGTCCCAAACTTTAGATCCATCATCTCCTATTGTATATTTCACGTAAAGGTACAAACTTTACGTGCATGTAGGGCCTTTCATAACCGTAAACACCAAAACTAATCCTCCACAAGGTTTTCATTCATGGGGAGGGAATAAGCTTATAAAGCATGCAACTTTATGATATTTGGGACCTAGTGAGGTTCAGATCTGGAACCATACCCTTGTGATAGGTCCAGATCTAGGCTTGCTTCCATTTCCTCAAAGTTGGGTCATGAACTCCCAATTAGAATATAGGCTTTAGGTAACAGATTCATACCTCAATTTGATGCCCAAGACGAACTAGATGCTAGATCCAGTGTTTTCCCCTTGATTCTTCTTCTCCAAGCTTGGATTCCTTCCCAAATTCCCAAAGTCAAGCTCTCAAATGCACACACTTCATACACCAGGGAGTTTGCGGCCGTACACAGTCTCTTATGATGTTAAAGGAGGCTACAAAAGCGTTTAATGAGGCTTATATAGGGGCAAACCCCAAAATTAGGGTTTTTCATGAAACAACCCTGACTCATCGAGTCACCCTTCTGACTCGCCGAGTCACTTCCGATTCGTGCCCCTGAAATACGACCCTACTCGACGAGTTGAGCTCCCAACTCGCCGAGTCCATGCTCAAATCCTTTCCAATTCAAACCAGGTGTTACAGATCATATAAGATCATGACCGGATACATTTGGGGGCAATATTAGAGACATAAGGTTACACATGGTGCATAATGTTGCATTCATTGGCATTGTTGGGCGACTTAATTATTACGATTATGCTAATGTTGTTAAAATCGTGATACTGTTAGGTGTGTCAGAACCAACAAATAATAGGGGTACAGTAAATTTCTAAACAAGACAAGTAGGGTCGAACCACGAAGACACGTTGTCACACCCCCAAACCGGGACGGCAAAAACGTTCCGGGGTGGATGACGTCATGTGTAGTATCACAACAATTGTATCATAGCAATCATAGTAAACACAACCATTACATTGAATACATATATGAAAAAGGTTTACATCTGTTTAATTCTTGTTTTTATACATCAAAAGTATAATCAAATAGAAAGACGTGACTCTATACGCTCCGTCTTCTCAAAACTCCAGGAGGTACCTGTCTACTGATTTCCTGAGAATACAAGCAGTTTTGAAAGAGAAAATCTGTTAATAAATCTAT